GCTACATCCAATGCAGAATGTTGACTGTAGAAATTATATTTGTTAGCATTATTTTTAAGGTGCCTTTTTGTCAGCAATTTTTATTTAAATAAATACAAGTTAATAGTATTGTTAGACTCTTATTGATATTGGTCATTTTTGAATAATTTAATAACATCCACTATTTCTGTTGCTGTTTGTGCAGATACTAATATGCATCATTAGGGGTGTGACAAGCGCTCTGGTTTTGTTAAATGCAAAGTGAATGAAGGGTATACTTTGCCTTCCATAACCTTTATACAACTGCTCAGTAAAAGAAACCTGTAGGATTCAAACACAAACTGATGAGAATTACTGCTTTCCTGGTTGTAGCTGTGGCCTAACCCCAGAGTACAGAATTGTGTTTTAATTAGTGGGGAAACTGTGAGGGAACAAAGAATTTGTCCCTCCAGAGTACCTGAGAAAGCAGATAGTCTTGCAGTGAATATAGAATTTTGCAAAGGAGTGCCAGGGACCTTGTTGGAAACATTACTGAGTATTAAAACTAAAAGAAATCCTTGAAATTGACTTTCCTTCATATAATCAACTTTTCTCCTCCAAAATTGGGGTGTGCGTCTTAAGTGGGAAAGCTGATTTCTAAATTGGGATGAAAGCATGGGAACTCTGTATTGGCTGCTGTGGGTTCTGCTTCTCTCTTGGCAATAGAGGAGGGGCAGAGCGTACTTTTCAGTATTAGAGCTATAATTTTTACCTTTTATACAGCTGCAACCAAAAAGCTGAGTAGCCAAAAGCTGATGCCAGCATGGCTGCAGATGAGGGGGTTTCAAATTATCATTTTTGGCTGAGCAGTGGTACTGAAGTGTACTGTGCCCTTACAACTAGGTCTTGGTCATTGTTGGTACTGGATTCATGACTTGGTCCTGATACCTTGTTCTGGGTAAACCCAAAACCTCAGACCAACCACGATGACTCTGTTCAATAATAGGCAAATTTTATTGATGCACAATGATAGCGGATAAGAGTAATGCAGGCAAAGCAAACAAAATAACCCCCCCTCCCCCGATCCTACATATCTACCAGTTCCAGGGTTTCACAGAGGTCTACCTGGTCAGTCCATGAATGCCAGATGGTACACCTGGCCAGTCCATGAATGTCATCCTTTGGTTCTTTGCTTGAATGTCAGATGTCAGCAGTCTTGGTGGGCGTCGGCCCTTGACCTCCCCCTCTGATGGGGTGGGTGAGACAGCTTGGTGGTGGTGCCATCTGCCCATTGTGGCCTTGCAATCCCTGCTGCTGCTTTGAAAGTCCCTCTTTTTGTATTCTTTCTCCCTGGATAACTTTTCATTTCCAGGTACTGTTGATTGGTTTCCCTGTGGACAACATACTGTCCTCGGTTCTCTTCTGTCAGCATAATTCTATGTTTTCACAAACCCAGCACACACGCATCTTAATTTGGTCATTTACTGGTGTCTTAATTTAGGCATCCCCAGACTCCGAATTTGGTCAGTCCACCAAACCGGAAATCCCAAGGGCTCTGTAGCTGGTCAGCATGACCTACTGCCAATGCTGCAGGGTCCTGCCTTTTTTTATGGTACACTGTTAGTATGTTTTCAATTTCGCAGAATGTATGTGCCTGCTTGTCTGTTAGCTTGGGATATCCTGTCTGCCTCAAAGGCTGAGAACATGAAACTTTGTCACAAACAGACTCCTAGAAACCAGTTAACCTTTGCTGTTCCCCAAGACCATTGTTCTAATGCAATATTTACTATACCTAGAAGCCAATTCCTAAAAGCAAATCTCTAAATATCATTTTCTGTCCATCAGCCATAATTAGATATTTTTTTCATCTTTATTTTGCCCTCCAAAACCAAAGTGCATGTCTTTTTGGGGGGTGTGTAGTAGTGAAGAACATACAATAAAGCAAAAGGTCTGAGATGCATTTCTAGTCGTAGGAGAAATTGTACATTTTTAGAAACTACAGTTTGGTCTTACATTTCTTCTGTCAGTTTCTAGAAACATCTAGCTTTATCTAGTAGATTTTTTTTTTATTTTTATTTTTACTGTAGTTCCTGTCAGCTGGTTATCAGTCTCTGCCTTGACAGCACCAGAGACTATAGGAGACTCTGGTGGGAATCCAAGACTGCAGTAGGCAATCAGCCTTGTTGGTCTCAGCCCTGAGATGTCACGAGACTCCAACAGGCTCCCTGAGCCCTGTGCACCAGGATGTCAGAAAACCTTACGTGCAGCCCAGCTGTAAACATGGGGTTTTTTTGAGGTCCTGGCACACCAGGGCCCCGGGATCCAGGAGAGGTTACCTGAGCCCAGAGTTACTGTGTGCTGGGCAAGTCAGGTTTTTAAAAGTCCTGGCATGCAGGGACTCCAGGAACAGGGAACCTCTCCCTGTCTCAGGGTCCCTGTGGCCAGGGTGCATTAAGTATTTTATTCCACAGCTCCCTCGGAGCTGCGGGGCAAGACATTCAACCTGCCAGGTCATGGGGAGTCCTGTGGCTCTCCGTGACCCAGCACCTCTGATCCAGTTGATAAGCTCCCCTGACTTGACACCCTGAAAACAGTGGGGTGCTGCCCCACATGACTGCCAGCCTGCCAATGCAGGGGAGGAGCTGTCAACCAGGTGCCACCATGCAGCCAGCATCGGGCTGCATGGCAGGGACTCTGCCACATGTTTAGTTTAAGACATGATGGAAACAACCACAAAATTTTTACATGCTTTGTGGATTAATTTTGTGGATTAGCTTGTTGCACATTTTCTCATGCCATTAATTATCTGAGCATGTGGCCAGTTACTATTTAAGACTCAATTAACTGGTTAATCATGTCTTATGTGTAACATCTGCCAGGGGTTTTAGTCATGGACCAAGTTGTGCTAACTATTGTACAAGTTTGGAATGAAAAGATGCTTGTCGTCCCCTGAACTTAGTTTACAATAGGACACAGATGGTAGAGGAGAAAGAAATGATAGCAGAGATCTCAGCACACCACTTGGGTAAAGTTTTTTGTATTTAGGTAGGCATCACTTTGAAGGAAAAACATGAAGTAGCTTTGTAGATGCGTATAGGGAGTGTCTTCCTGGTAAGAACATGCATTCATAATTTTATCAATGGTATACAGTTTATATACTGAAATAAATGTGTGTGTGGAAGACCTATTTACAGTTGTTTGGTCTGATGACTGATTACAACAATGAAATTATTTACATGCTAACTCACATTTCTGTTTGTAATGTAAAAACCCTTCCAGCACACTTCTTCTGTTTTATTCCTGAACAGTGATAAACTGTAATAAAATCTCAAATGGATTTCAAGAATGATTACATGTTAATCTTGATTTCTTAATTTACATGTATATGTATTTTTTTATTTCAACAGAAACTACTTGATCTGTTGGTTAAGAAAAGTGACAACCTTACTGTTGACCAACTTGAGAGGTTGTACTCACTTCTTAGTCAATGCATCTACCGGCATCGTAAGGATTATGACAAATCACAACTTGTAGAGGTAAAGCACTACAGCTCCTCTAACTTCTCACCTGATTTTCACTAAACACTTACTAAAGTGTTTGTCAATGGCTAACTGTGGTAACTAGTACACATCTGAAGCCCTCTTTGAGAACTGTATTTACTAACAATAAAAAGAACCTTAGAGCAGCAATGATATAAAAAATCACCAGGGTCGTTAGTTTCTGAGATGACCCTTTGCTCCAATCTCTTTTCTGCAAAAGAACAAATCAAACCGTGGGTATCTTTCTACTCATCTTATTCTGTTCTCTAAGTTAGCATTTAAAGGATATAAATGACAAAAGCCATAAGATTCATATTTTAAGGCTGGTAAAGCCTGTACTCCTTATGAGTGTAGGAGAGAGAGGACAAAGAGCTAACAGTGAGAAAACGTGCTAGTGAACTGAGAATGTGGCTGAGAGGCAGGAGCTTTCAAGTAGTTACTTTGGCTCTTTCCTAACTATTGTGAGGGTCGCTTACTTTATTTTCGCTTCTGTCAGGGTTGGTTCTGGGGTCAGTTATGTTCAATATCTTCATTAAGATCCAGAAGATGGGATGGATTGCACCCTCAGCAAGTTTGTGGATGACACCAAGCTGCGGGGTTTAGTAGGCCCACTGGGTTAAGATTCAGTGACATAGATAAATTGGAGTGGACCAAAAGAAATCTCATGAGGTTCAACAAGGACAAGCGCAGAGTCCTGCACTTAGGACAGAACAATCCCATGCACTGGTACAGGCTGGGGAGTGACTGGGCAACACAGCAATTCTGAAGAAAAGGACCTGGGGGTTACAGTG